CACATTCCAATAAAAGTGTAAATTACTATTTTAATTTACACTATTATGTGACGTGGATAATTGAAAATTTGTCACAAGTTAATTTCATGATTGCTAATGCATGATGACCTATTTATACGTCAGTACAACTATCTAAAGATCAAAACCTGTATAACTATTGTCACGATTGTCAGATGAAAGATTAATATTTTTTCCCACTCTACAATGAATATTTTAGGACACCATACTGATACTGTATCCATCTTAGTGAAGTAGTGTGAGGAATATGATACTGGTACTTCTCTTAGAACTATACTGTAATAACTTTTCAGTCATGTTCTGAATATTTCAAGGGCTAATCTCAAACTGGTAAAAGTTTAAGTACACAAAGCGTCATACTTACTGTATATACAATACAAGTACAGTAAGTCCGTGCTTAACGTTGTCCCGCTTAACTTTGTTTCGGTACTACGTCGCTAAACTTTAGAGACCAAAAATTCGTTTAATGTCCCAGTGATCCGATACTACGTCGTTTTGCGCCGTCACAGACTACATTTTATGGTGCTGCGCTATGCTCTCTCAGCCTGGCCAGAGTCTCAGTGACTCACCACCCTCCTCCTCCGCTCCCGCCCTCCTCCTCCGCTCCCGCCATTCTCCCCCCCTCCCGCCTCCTCTGCTTCACTACCCACCACACACTCGCTCCACCACCTCCGCCCATCGGTAAGTACCAATACAAACTTAGTTAGTTGTACAGTATATGTACTGTATGCACTAATTTCTTTAGAAATGGCAATGACTTTCTGTATATGTGATGTATTTCATGGGGCAACGGGAGGCTCAGGAACATAACTACCATATTTTATCTATTTCTTATGGGGAAAATTGATCCGCTTAACGTTGTTTCATAAAACATCGCATTTTTAGGAACGTAACCTCGACTTTAAACGAGGACTTACTGTACAGTATAGTGGAAAAGGTTGTCTAAGTTCACACCCTTCTTACAAATTAAACAAAAATAGTAATTTGTGCATTTAGACTAACTAGTTTTTGTTCATGAAGAAAGAACAGTAAGCCCAATTTTTCTCCAAGTGAAAAAATCTTCACCTAATTCATAAAACGACTATGCTACTTCTAAGTACAGTATACTGGCACTTATTAGTAAAATAAATGTTTTCATTACAGTACAGGTATAAGGATAAACTATCATAAATTATAGACAGAATTTCATGCAGAAACTTCCTAAAAATTGTTGTGGTTTGGAAATTGGGCAGTTTCACTACACCCAACAAAAAGTACAACTGTCAACAGTTGGCTCACAATACGTGTTTGTGCATTAAACATAAAGATCTAAAGACACACAGATACATGTTCACATGAGAATGTTATTATATTTCTGTATTTCTAATAAATTCTGACACTGCAATACACGTGCTAAGTCACTCTCTTACCAAGTAATACAGCAACCTCCTGAGTAAGATTCAGGGCTCCTGCATGAGTGATTAACCATTTTATGATCAACCCTGAGCATACCATACCAAGTGCAAGTGTACATATATGAATACAATATGAAAGAACAGAATTACAATGCCTGTACATTGGACTATGGCTATACTGTACCTCTGTAGACAGATAAGTGTGCTTCACTGCAATCTACAGTATATCAATTTTATTGCAAAACAAAATAAAATCATATACAAGTAGTCCCCAATTTATGAAAGCCTGATTAACTAAAAATTCAGTTATACACGCAAAAAAAAGTCCCATGCTGTGATTTTTGATCAAAAACTACAAAGTTTTTTTTTGGGGGTGGGGGGGGGGGCTATTTCTTTCATTTTTTCCAAAGCAATTATGAAAATAAGCTAAAATAATACAGTATTTTTGTTTACTACTAGCATGCTTACTTGCTGTATTTCATTCTTCTCTAACACTTGTAATATTGTTAAGTCTACAAATAGGCCTCAATGTGTTATCATTCTCCTACAATCTCCATATACGATAATCTACAACTCAAACTCACTTGAAGATAAGTACACTCCTCACTTAGCCTGATTGTCCAACTTCTCTTCACTGCTGTCATGTAATACTGTACAGTATGTGGAAAATTCAATAAAGAAAGCTAATGTGTATGCAAGTTTTTTTTGTTATGCTAATTAGTACTGTATGTACAATAAAGGTGTTATGTTGTAAAGGTGTTTAATATTGTCATATAATGATTGTGTAGTGTACATACACCCCAAAAAATCATTAAAAACATGTTTTGTTGCATTTTGTAGAATTTTACAATTTTCCAGAGATATTTTTTTTGGAGGAACATATCTCAGCTTTTACAATGGAAGTCTATGGAAAATTGTGCTTCAATTTATGAAAATTTATTTATGAAGTTTTCAGGAATGGAACCCTCTCATAAATTGGGGAATACCTGTACACCAAAAAGTCTTTCATTGTTTCTCTAGCATTCATATCCTTATAATTTCCTCGTGTGTGAAGACAACAAAAGACATCTATGTACAGTACTGTACATACTGTTAGCTTGTTTTTCATAAAGCATAAGGCTGACTAAACAAGACAGGGATAACAACATGATGCATTACTTTTATCATATATGGGGGAGCCTATGACTGTCAGCTTAACTATGAAAGACTTTGTAATCAATGAAGCTTACAATTACAGTACTGGCTTACCACTGCTGTGCTGATTTTTCAAAGCTATTAGTACAGTACTGTACTTGGTAAACAAAAATAATATTCAATAAAAACTGCCTGAGATTCTCTACCACTGTAGAAAGGGCATTAAAAGTTAAAATCACATATTCATATTATATCAGGTATCATACTGAAGTGATCTGCAGGTACAGGAACCATCTTGGGTTATAGTTGCCAGTCCTATGCGATTGTTTATAAGTTTTAACTTGAATTTAAATTAAAAATACACAACTTACAGTAATCAGTTATAATATGTATGTAAATAAACTTATATTTTAATAGCTACTATCACTTTTTAGGAAGATCACAGTAAGGTACAGGAATTGGTTGTCTTCTCACATACATATTATATCTTATTTATGTTATGAACCATTATGCCTTACAGTGAGATAAGTGGCTGCAGATACCGGTATTGGGTAAGATGTCACTACATTTGACAATACCTTAGCAGATGATGAAGCACCTTCCGTTTAAGTAATGCTAAAAGCTTAAAGTTAAATAACATCACTATTTGGTATCAATCTGCTAAAGTCTTCAGTATTACTATTTAATAGATTCAAAGATGCAACATGGTAAGTTTAGTGGGCATACCTGGTGTATGAGATCAGTCAAAGAAGAATAATGTAGTGCAGTCTACTGAGCTTGAACATTCTGTACTCTATTAAGAGAGCAAGAACAACTGCCACTTCTGGTCTTCCTAATTTTTGTTACAACAAGATCTGGTAAACTGCACTGTACCATAATGACAAATTCCTTTTGCCTTGCAATACCATTTAACCAAATTCATCTTATACCCGGTAAATGTTTATTGCATCAAATTAATTTATAAATAAAAATGTACAGTTTTATGTATCATCACCTCAAGCCTTAGCTATATCAATGCAGTTCTTCTCTGTTGCTGAATTCAACAGTAGTGTCTGACATACAGTAGTATTGTCTGAAAAATTTCTTATTGATGTGACCGGTCTGACTCATCGTCAACCAAGGTGTCTGTAACATCTAAAGAAGCCTGACCTTTTGTGAGCAAGAGTTGATGATGACATCCTATATTATTGAGGGAATTACACAAGTTATAAGAAAAACATCTTCCACACACTTCCACACATTAAATGTGGGGAAGTGTTTGGAAACATTTTCAAAACGAATTAATCACAAAAATTATTGCATGCCCACTGGATTACATGATCCATATTAACTGTACAGTACTAGATACCAAGCAAAAGTTACCCCCATATCTACTCCATATGCAGGAATTTAACTAAGAAAAGTTTGTGTACACAACAAAAAGTTAAACATCGTTTTTATTCTTTCAAAACTCTTCCTATTCATATGAAGTTGAAAATAGTTTAAGAACTAACCATACTATATTTCCATGGTGGAGTTTAAAACCCTAGTATCTCCCTGTTTTCTCAGGTGCTTCCCTCATCACCTCTGATGATCTTCAGTGTCCTTATTATATAACAGTTCTGAAGTTTTATCAACTGTCAGAGTAAATGTGCTATCGAGTAAACAATATATATTTTTGTCCTCTTCTGTATCTATGGGTAACAGCAATTAATCATACTCAGAACAGGGAGGAGCATGATACAGATTTTTACAAGCCCAAGTCACTCTATCTCCACCTACTCCAATGTGGAAGACATATCAATACCGTACAGGTAACATTCAAAACATTGGCATTCTAACTCTGCTTCATCATAACCGCATAAATCCAACATTTATATTCTGTTTATATTTTCAGAAAGTCGAGCATTAGATCCTTAAACAGAAATAACCATTACTCTTGTACAATGTAAATTGTATTTAAGGTTACAGTATTTTTGATTATTGTGTAGCTTAATGCCAGGTGTATGTACATGAGAGTATACAGTATATAAAAGGTACAGTAAAGATGAACCAACATTATCAGCTGGTTTAGAATTATATATATATATATACCCTGTATATATATTACCTGGTATTCAAACTCTTTGCTCCAATACATATTGAAGAACTTGTTTCAACAAAGGAAACTTTAACTGCACTCTCTCTCTCTCTCTCTCTTTTATATATATATATATATATATATATATATATATATATATATATATATATATATATATATATATATATATATATATATATATATATATATATATATATATATATATATATATATATATATATATATATATATATATATATATATATATATATATATATATATATATATATATATATACACAGTTGACAACCCTTTATCCGAAATTCAAAAACCGAAATGCATCTGGTCCCCTATCAACCATATATATATATATATATATATATATATATATATATATATATATATATATATATATATATATACGTATATACTGTATATATTGATCCTTTACATTTACAATCTTAAGCACATCATCCTATCATCTCTACATAGTTATCGAACAGATCATTCTCTTGTACAAACAAAAATGCATAAGCTTTCACACCATTATTGTCTAATTCTTTGGAAGTGGAAAATGTGACAAGTTAATGCCTTAGACACTTTCTACCTGTTGTTGATCAGCTTTCTTGCGCTGGATGAAGTAGCACATAAACATGAGACAAGTCCCTAATGTAAGACTTACCACAGAGAAGAAGAGGACTCCATCATAGCTACCAGTGCTATCTACAATATATCCTGTAAAATGAAAATTTTATCAGAATTACATGTGCAGTCTGCTATAACTTTTGATAATATACACAAATACAGTAAATACAGTATGAGCTTCAGTATATGTAGAATACTAACATAATTTACCGTATGCCTTCCCAACAATAAGCAGGTGTCATATGTAGAAATGAGTGATAACTAATACTCTTTAGTTAAGGCAATAAGCACCTAACAATGGTGAAAACTTCTTGTTAATCCTTATCTAATGAGTAAACATATTGAATAGTAGTAAATCTGTATTACCAAGACTCAGAAGAACAACTTTTACAATGCCATCATCACTAAATGTTAAATTGGCTTTTTCTAAGATTTGGAATATTTCTGTAGAGTCCTAGTTATGATCTAATCTCAAAGTGTTTAAGAGAGGCTCTATCTGCTTCACAAGATGGACAGGAATGTGGTGAGATGATTTACCCAATTGGGAAAATAATCAAAGACACACCAAACTCTTGAAAAAAGTCTACAAGTGATCCATTCCACTTTAGCAGAGTACAGTAATAACTGTGGAGAGCAAAAATTTTATGCAATAGAAGTATTTTCATTATAAAGATCATTAAAAAAAATTCAAAGTACATACATAAGTGATTGGGAATGAAGAACATGTAAGACTGAAAAACCCAATTGTTCTAGGTCCTGGTAACTCAAGAAGACAAGATGGCCATAAATTCTCACAGATAGGAGATGGAATACTGATTACCAAAACTGTCTAAGATGTAGTTGGGTCAAGTCCACATACCAAGTACAGTTCCATCAAAATAAAGTGGGGAAATAGTGATCATTAAATTTATGTTGAGAAGCACACATTAGACAGCATGCTGTGAAAGATTGAGATTCAAGTGAAGTTAAGCAACATTAGGTCCGGTTAGTACTTGGATGGCTGACTGCCTGGCCCTAAGAACACCTGATGCTGCTGGCATAAGAACTCTACTGGAAATAATCATTTCATGGGTTTGTCAGCTGTCCTTGGTCAAACTGACTGAATAATTAGTGATAAGATATGTTCACGAGTTACAGTAGATGCATGAACAAATGGACTGCATTTCTCGGGTACTGCTATATAGAGGGTAGCAAAATCAGTTAGAGATATCTAAAAGGGACATATATTAAGAGGAAAAATAAAATAAAATTTGAAACAAAAGTTTCTTGATATATGCTTACCAGCAACAGGTGCCCCGATGAGAGCTCCTATGCCCCCAAGGAAAAGAATATGTCCAAATACTGTAATAAGTTTCTCTCTGCCAAACACCATGGATGGAGCAACAGCAATAAGAACATTCTGGCTCCCATAGAGGAAGCCAAACATTGCAGTTAGTACAAGAAGGTGAGTACTGGTGCTGATGAAAATGTGACACATCATCACAATGGCACATAACAGTAATGCCAAACCATAGGTGAAAACTGGATCAACAAGCTGTAAGAAGAAATAAGTAAGAGTGTAAAATACTCTGTAATATTATATTTACTGTATACAGGTATGTATCCCCTGATTTACGATCTCCCTATCTACAATATTCCGCTTTAACGATGTGATGTATTAAGAACACCCCCTACAGTATTTACGAAGTAAACAATGAGCATGAACGAAAAAATCTGCAGTTTCCCATTTAAAAGCACAAGATCACAAAAGCTTACAGAATGGAAATACAACTTACTCTGGTGGACATTAAGAAACCAGTACACATTCGACCACAGAGATCTCCAATACCAATTCCAGAGAGAGCCATTGAATAGTAATCTCCTACACCTTTAGAATCTGCAAAATCCTTGTAGATGATGTAGAGACAGAGGGTTCCAACCATCACAAAGAAGACAGCAAAATCCAGCAGCCAGAAGCGAATGTCCAGAAGGGGATGATCTGATGATTTCCTGTAACTGTTCAAAAAAGATGTGATAATTATTTGCTCTTGTAAAATCATAAAATTGTGTTTAATTTATTAAATAAAACCTTTAGTACCTTTATCAACAACCAAAACAAAATACATTGTGACAAATAAAAAGTATGTACTGTACTGTTCAAAACTCCAAACATTTATGATACAAACAGCATAATTATTAAAACTATGGTACAAAAATATCTATAAATTTTTCTTGACTTGACCTAAGAGACTGAAAATGAGAAATTGGGTGAAGTTATGTAAGTGTTGGCAGGGAGAGAAGAAACCCGTGCCTCAATCCTGAATGTACACTCACCCACAAAAGCCTCTCCTCCTGAACCACAAAACCAAAGATTCAGATTTGTGAATCTGAACCAATTATGGACAGATAATGCATCAGAGTCTACTGCTTAGGGTTCACAAGGTTGAATCTCTGGGTTTGTGGAACAGCAGAAGAGGTGACAGAACTTTTGTGGAAGACTGTATATGTGAATGAGTGGTGTTCAGAAAAAAGAGAGAGGGACCAAATAAAGCTGTCCCAGTACCCTGAAGTAGATGAAGGCATAACAAAGAACAGCACCAGAGATCTCGGAACTGGTTTATGCCCTACAGATTTATGATCTGGAATGGCAAGCTCAGGACTCAATGCAAGCCAAATTTTTTATTTGTCCAACGTTTAGGCAATATATGCTGAAGGTTAGGTGGGAGCAGTCCCCACTAAGCCTAGTATTAATACTCAAAATCACACTAGGTGCAGATGACCCCAGAATGAAAAATTTTAAAAGTTATTTGTCATTAAAAACATGATTATAACCTGCCAACAGTGCAATATATCCTTCACACCAGTACAGTATTTATGCTAACAAGTAGTGTGGAACTCATTTACTACTTGGAGTAAGAGCACAATTTCCAGAAATTGCTTTCTTTGCATTACAAGGGAAACAAAAAAAAGAGAAAGGCTTTAATCCACTCTTAGCCAATTCTCATTAAAGATTATCAGAATGACACTCAGAATTTTCTAGCATGCCAAATATACTACAAATATACAGTATAGCCAACTAAGCTACACTCGCACCAAAAAGTATCGGTGCAGGGTGAGATCGACGACTTCCGAAATGATACGTATACACTGTGATATGTCGGGAAGGTTGGTAAGTGTATCCTCATACCCCCCCCCCCCCCACTAGGTGTTGCCATATGGCTGACAATCAGTGTGTTTGTTTCCTCTTTTCGGATTGTTGCTTTGTGTCGACTGAATGATGAGCGAGGGTTCGGTCTCGGTGAATGTGGGTATAAAACAGAGGCAATATGAAGCAGCAGAGATCTACACATGCCAGACGACATGGAAACCTCAGAGGGAACACGAGGAGCTATTATTGCCCTTCATAACGAAGGGTTCGGCGTCACAGATATTAGCCGGCGGGTTGGTGTCCACAGGAACACCGCTGCACAATGGATTCGGCGATACCTGGAAACTGGTGCTACAGATAACAGGTCTCGGAGCGGCCGTCCACGCTGCACCACCCCTCAGGACGACCAGGTTGATTGGTTTATTTGGTAGCATAAATTAATGTGGCAATATTCACAAGTATCACAAATAATTTTGTTAACAGGGAGCTCCTCATATTTCATATTGTCTATTTATCACTTCCCGACCTTATTTATAACGGTTTGATTCACTTGACCAACCATAGTAGCTGCTCAGCAGGATTACAGGGCTGCCAACATACGGCTGGAACAACTCGCCTTTCCCAATACCTATCATCACTGGTCTCAAATTGTTCACACTACAGTATGCACCGATACTTTTTGTTGCGAGTGTACATTCTCTATGGAATACCTCTGGCAGTTACAATTAATTCAAGATAACATACTGCCTACCTTCCTTGGAGTGGATAATGGAATACTATGCAGGTACTGTACTCACTAACCCCTAGCTCTCGGGCCACCCTTTATGACTTTCTCCTAAAGAGCCTTTATGCTACCTTATATGAAGCCTTTGTTTATAATAAAATTGCTTATGGTATAAGTTTGACACATACTATCTGAAGGCCTTTGGTATCTTTTCTGCAGTCACAAAGACTTTCCCATTCCCAAGCTAACTTCATTTGTATTGTGGACAGATTGGAGAGCACTGCATCCTGCAAACCTTAGCCGGGAATCTTCCCCTTCCAATATAAATTTATCAAGCAAGATAATTATCTCCAGAAAACAGATAAGCATGACCTAAGCTCCCAAAACAGATACTGTACACAATCTCCAAATAAAACAAATCTCCGAAACATGGACACAATGACCCCCAGGAATTATTTCCTCCCCACTCTGGTTCACCACCCAAACTCATGGACTCTTTACACATGCAACTTTAAACCCCTATTTGTAATAAATATCTAGTTTTTGTTATTTATTTCCCGTACACGAAAGGTTACTATTTCCCTAGGTTGAAGGGTTAAGTCAGGTGACTGATAGTATGAGTCCTACTTGGCTGATCATCTCGCTTACATAGGCGAGTGGGCAGGGCATTAATTTTTTATCCTTAGTTTCCCCAATTTGATAATTTCTTTGAGGCAGAAGACTTGGTATAGTGTTTGTTCCAATACACTTACTCTTGGGGAGTTATTTAAAGTTGGAAAGAAACCAGTTTCAGCCAAAGTTTGTTAGTCTGGTAAAAATACAACCAACTTGAGTACAGTGCTAGCTGCAAGAATTTAAGTGAGACTAAGAATGGAAAGAATTTAATGGAAATATTTAAAATGCCATTAAATACTTTCCAAACATCTCAAATAGCGATGACTGAAACTCAAAAGTAAAGATGTCATTAGATACTCTTATAGACCACACCTTACATTGATAATATACTATATGTATTGTAATTATGCCTAGTCATACCTTCTGTAACATATAAGAATTTGGTATGTGAGAATAACCAAAGCCATATGTTCCACTACTATGCAAACAATACCAAAAATAAATAAATTACCTTGAAAAATTCTTAATAGCAGTATATGTGCGTCGCTTCATCTTCTCAATCAGGAGCATACATAAGGACCTTCGTTCATTTTGAGGGGTGGGCTGTGGAGGAAAATATTATACTGTGTAGTATTAGTACTGTATAGCTTACATGAGCACTGAGAACCACAGCTATCACTGGTCGAAGGAAAATTCAATACCAATAGAGTAACCAAGTCAATGTTAAGTTGCTCATATTCATTACAAATTCGGTACAACTTTTATCTTAATCTATCGAATCTTCACAACATTTTGAGAGAATTTATGACAACATACGAAGAGAGATTCTGTATTTATTCTTGGTCATGGCCACCTGCAGCAGCACACCAGGATAAGCCTTGCTGGATTATACTTTTTTTTTTAACAGTGTACAGTAAACCCTTGTTATTCACAGGGGTTAGGTTCCAAGGAATGGTGCAAATAGGCAAAACCACGAATAGCAACTTATACTACCTTAGTGCACTACTGTATACCTATACCAAACAACCACGGCAGCACTCATCCCCTCTTTTAACTTCTCTTATAATTCAACTTTATTTGTCAGGGTCAGGCATTTTACATTTCACTCCACTAGCACGTCTTTTAGGGGCCATTTCACACACAAAAAAGCTTTGAGAGTACAACACCAGATGCAGCATAGGGTGACTCATGCTGTTGGAAAAAGCTTGCAAGCTAGCCACCATCTACTTACCACAAATCGTTGAAATCACAAATCGCAAACCCACGAATGGCAAGGATCTACTGTGAGCAATAAACTGTCATGTATCTACTTAATACTGGTGGACAGTTAGACAGTGTGAGGGTGTGAGTGATCCATCTATTAAGATTCATGCAAATATAATCTGTCTGGTCAAATGGCAATATCTTATCATACTGTGGAGAGTAACTGTACAGTACAGTACAGTACATGATATGGGAACATAAACTATGTATACAGTGAAGGAGTATGGCCTGGTGAGTTTAATGTGTCATGTACCACATGAGACTTGTTTTATATGAAGTATCTTCTTCACATTCATATTATATTAGGGAAAATAATTTTTATGGCCTAATATGGTATCTTAGCTGTGCTGTATTAAATGAGAGATTAATTTGTGAATTGGTATGTTGCAGACAGAGACTTGTATCATTCTGATTCAGCATATTGGTGAACTGCACAAAAAAGTGCCCTAATTATGTCCTGCTTGTCTTTTTATTATAGAATTAACAGAAAAGCTGTTGAGAACATGGATTGATCACCAAACACACAAAAAAAAACATTCTACTAATTTCACAGGCAATACAGAATAAAGCATTAGGTCTGTTTTGTTTGTTTTAATAATGTTTTCTTAAAAAAAATTAATATTCGTATAATGTACAGTACTGTAGTCCACTTTTATAATACATTGCACTTAATTGTTGCATGTCAGTTACCTTCCCCCTCTCTCTCTTCACTCTCAGCTGCATGCATCTTTATCCTATTATACATACACTAGTATACACTAGTATCTCAAAGGGAAATCATTGTTCCCTTAATACAATTTCATTTAACACAGTACAGGTACTCCTCGACTTACGACAACCAGGACATACGACCGCCGTCGTGGTCGTATAAAATATTTTTCAAATTATGTACAGTATTTTTGAGTCCTGACGTTAGTGATCGCGCTGTGTACTGACAAAATTTTTGTTTGTAATTCCTTTTAAAATGGCTGGCAAGCATAAAAGTGAGAGTTCTCGTGGTGCTGAGAAGAAAAAGAGACACCCATTTTAGAATTTCTATGTATTATTTTCGCCTTTTCAACTTACAGACAATTCAACTTACGACCTGGTCGTCGGGAAGGAACCCTGTCGTAAGTCGAGGAGAGACTGTACTATTCTGGAGCACATCTACTATATCAAGTAAGAAATGACTGTGTATATAGCAGTTTTTACACAGTAAATATATACGTACAGTATACAGTACATATACAGTGACCCCTCCGTTAACGAACTCAATCCGTTCCAGAAGGTTGTTCGTTAATCGAAAAGTTCGTTAACCGAAACCATTGTTTCAATGGGTTTTTGGGTAATTGGTTCCAGCTCACCGAAAATTTCCTAAATTCAACAAAAATGGTAGAAAAGTTCACTTACTTTGAGGTGTGTATGTAGAAGGCTCCTGGATGATGATGATGATGATAGGATTTAGAATGGGGGTGGAGGAGAAGGAAGAAGAGAAGGCATTGGGGTGGAAGAGAAGTCACCCCATGGCACCATTCCACCCATAAAATTTTAGCTCTCTTGGTGTAATTCAAGATTATTTTCTTTAAATCAACACTGCACTGCATTATATATTGTCAATATGTAAAATATATTTCAAAATGACCAATAATTTGCTTGGAAACACAGAAAAAAAGCGTTTAGTTGAAGAGAGTCTCAAGCAAGATGTTACCTCCAGTGAAAACAGAGAGACTAACTCCTGTTTGCTGTGTTAAGAGGCTGGATGCCGCGCATTAAACTAGTCACTTTACCTTCAATTATGTTCAATAATTGTTAAAATGACTAAAAATTGAATATTAAACTTTTAAAATTATTGAATAGTATAAACTTCTTGATATTTACTAAAATAGTAAGGAATTTAAGCCCTAGAACCGATTAATGTATTGGCGGACTGATACTAAAGCTGGTTGCCCGGTCAATGCAAGCGAAAACATGTTGAGGTCGGTTCGTAAGAACTTCGTTAACCGAATTTTTTTTCGTTAACCGAATTGAAGATCCTTATGGAAGGCAGTTTGTTAATCAAAATTACGTTAACCGAGGTGTTCGTTAAACGAGTGGTCACTGTACAGTACTGCATATACACACATCAGATAAATTCATCATTTGTCACTTTTAATTTCTGCCCCTCCTGTAATGTATTGTACTTTTGTGAAACCAATTTTTCACTCTTGAAGTGGCTTGATTATATGGTAATACTGCACAGTATACTGTTAGCATCTGGATATGAACATCATACTACTTAGATCTCATGGTGCAAATCTATCATAAGGCACTATGTATTTTGATGTTATAGTATATATAGTATCAATTATTAATGGAAAAATAATTATCCATTATTAAAGAAGGCATAAACAATCATATATGTGTTGTTCAATAATAAAAAAAAATGTAAATTCTAAATGTTGAATTAACAGGGATTCCCAAGAAAGAACCAAGGTTTACCATTTCATCGTTGCTCGAGTAGAATTCTTCCTCCTCTTCAACACAGCAGCCAAGATCGCAATCACCCTCACGCAGGAGAAATCGAGCTCGGCCTCCTCCATGGCCTGAACAAGTTCCCTTCATACTCTCAACCTGGAGGTGTTGATATATGTCCCCCTGTGAGATTTTGGAGAAACTCTGAGGGTTTGACTTGATACCACTCACACCAGCCTGAGAGAAAAAATATGGAAAACATAAGTAATTTCTGTAAATCAAGACATATCAATATTAAAAGTAAATATTGTAGCTGAAGAGAATCTAGTACATTGCTGTAAAAGTAAGTGATGATTAAACCCACATGTTCAACAACATCATACTCTATGTGCTTTACAAAAATTCTGTAATGCTGGTAGGTTATTCCTGCTGCCATCAACACTCATGAGAAATACTGTACCTCATTTGTTCACTTTTGAACACCATTCCATGTCAGCATGCAAATATATTTCACACAGTTTTCACAATGGACAATACTTCAAAGACTGTACAATATATGTATGTATTGTAACTGTAAATGTTGCATTTTCTGTTGTCTTTGTTTAGAAAATTATCCCATTTCCAATTTTTCAAAATACTGCAGTGAATTTTCTTGTGGTACAGTAAGTGTTTAAGAGAAACTGCATCTAAGCATATACCTATGATTACAAAATAGTCAACATCTATTCATACAATGACCTACTATATCTTGCTGAATTTTGCAATGCACCTTCCATTTATGTCATAGACATATAAGGGCACAGGTTGTACAGTACAGTACAGTACTTTCTGGCAGTTCTCTTGAACCCTGACCTGACACTAGAAGTATTTTCCAAACATTTCTGATAAGATGTTTAATCTTGTACACATTGTACAACATCCCTTCATATTATGGAACTTCTTACAGGTCTTAGGTAATAAGGTTTCCTAACCTTATTTTTAACATCAAATTCAAGGTAATATATTAAATGGCTGATATCTTGCTTAGTCTTACATATGTTAATAAGTCTAGGATAATGGACAAACAAAATATGTCCAAGGTTCCAGGTCATAACTTTATCATGGTGTAATTCTTACCCTACAATTTCCCTGCAGGGAATTTCACAACATAACATTTATTTTGTTGATGTATTAATCTCATTTACTTTATGGATCAATACAGTAAATTTTTAGATTGAAACTTTTCATAAGTGTACTTTTAACCTTGTACAGTATTAAGTCATTATCAGAAATACTTTCTGTTTTGTCAGATAACCTCTGTACAAGTAAAAATTTTGTCCTGTTTCTTTGTTCCTCTTGAGCAGTTTCTATCTGGATATCTCGATCATGCCACATTTAATTTGTTTCAGATCAGGAACACTCATGCACCTTGTTAACACACAGGCTGCTTTACTGATTTTGCTAAGTATCAAACCCTGATTTTTTTTTCTGATAAAAGATAGCCATCACGACATGATACTTGCACTGAAAATTCCACCACCTTTAGATTACCAGTGGAAGATGCAACTTTACCAAGAATTTGCCACAATAAATGCTTTCTCTATATCTCATTCATCTTCATTAGAACTTAAGAGCTTTCTAAGTGAATAATGTTATAAGAGTGTTAGTAAGTACTAACTTGATCACCTGTCTGTGATACACTGTACAGTATATAGCTTTATATATACAGTATATATAAAATTTGGTATTTATTAAATTATGATGAGTTTCAAATGACATGGAGCAGTTGACTACCAACCAATCACATCATGTGTGTGGAAAGAATGAAATAGTGAAGCAGTTCTAGGTCACGGGGTTATCACTGGGACATTGCAGCAATAATGATATGAAATTTGCCTTAATATTTCTTTGTTTTTCTATTCATTTATCATTATAATATTCAGGTCTTTGATGTTTTAGTTCTGAAGACTGGAATACTGAGAAATTTTCCATTTCATTTAAAGCAAGTTTGCTCGCTGTAGCATTGACTGATGAATGGAGTTTTAGCTGAAGTTATTGCAAATTATTACATTGATGGAAATCAATTTAATTTCATGTTAAGTGCCGATTCAAATAAAATTGATTTGAATGGATTTAGCAAGGTTGGTTTTTCCTATGTAACAACTGAAGTTCTTAAGATCCATGATAACTATGCACAGATAGTCAATGTAACACTATAGAGTTTATACAACACTCTTTGTGTCTCAATACTCAGGACATGACATTAAAGGTTTCAAATGGGTTCAATATTTACAAAAGCTGTTCCAGAACTTGTAATCCCATCGTTCAGTCATTCCCATCAGTGTACCTGAGAATCTCGACGAGAACAGAAGCTTTGGTTGTTGGACTGGAGACCAAAGTCCCCATGAGAATCTTTGTTGTGGAAGCTGAACTGATTGGAACGCAGGTCAAAGTGGGACAATTCAGCATGAGAATCCTTAGTACAGAAGCTGTAGCCATTGGACCTTTGGGAAAAATAAAAAATTTAATAAACTTACATAGGTAGCAGAGTGATGTGCAATAATCCCCAGCAGAAGCTTAACTGTGAGAGAGATACAGTACAGAGTTATGAAAGGATGGGTTCCAGCTCCTGGCCTCTCTTCTTCTTGTGAAGGTTCACTCATCCATAAGACAAGTATGGTATATAAACTGTTATATTTTCATTAAAAAGAAAACCATATACTGTACAGTAATTACTACATTCCTGTACCTGTCTTGTCTTGTTGCTTAATTATGTACAGTATATTTTTTTTCTGTAAATTATAAGACATCATTGCTGCTTTGCCTGTCCCCTGTATTAATGCATAAAAAATATAAGTAGGATTCTTCAGTAGTTGTTTCAAGTTGTTATGTTGGGTCTCTCACACTATAACATAAAGGGAGACATGGGTATTACTGTATAGTAAAAAAGATTGATGGAATGACTTCATTGTTCACAGAAAAATCTAAAAGAAGTCTTCAATGCAGCTTACAAGTACTGTTGCAGTGATCCACCAGCCTCAGATAGTCCAAGTGCAATAATGCTTGTTGAATTTTATTAAAAATTTTTACTCCTGTAGACATACTGTTACTGATTAGAGACCAAGCATAAGCCTAAGCAAAAGACCCGCCTAGAAATAAATACCTGACAGCTTTGTTCGTTATCCTTGGTCAAACTGCCTTACTGTTTACCATTGTTGTTTACTTGTACAGTCTAGGCATACAGGAATCTATATGCTCCCATGGCCTACATGCACCGTTTATCTATATTATCTATATTCATGCTGCACTGTACAACCATATAGTTTATAAACATGGCTATCCAATTGTAAATCTGTATGACAGTTTTGCTGAATAAATATATACTGTGTAAGGAAGCACAACAGGCACACTGATGCCCAAAAGGAACACAGAAGCAATAAAATAAAAAGTATTCAGAACAATAAAGGTACTGTACTAGGTAAAAAAAATCTACACATTAAGGTTCAAGTTACTGTATGGAAATCTAAGTGCAGTGGACAAACAAATGAGTGAACACAGGGCAGGCCAAAAGCTGTATGCCATTCACAAAAATGTTGTGGTGGCAAATTACAACAATATAAACAAATAAATCTCCATGCACTCAAGCTTCAATAGTATGAAAAACATTCATATATTTTTCCTCATTACAGTACTTTAACATCTCATATCTTGTTAGTTATCTAGATTAGTCTCTCAAGTAGGCTTACATCTTCATTTCCTATTACATTTATGTTGAATCTCTCTCTACAGATTACAGGGACTTTATACTCAGTTATCTAAAAGAGTCTATCCTGTCCTCTGAACATCTTAACACTATCCAACTCAAGCAATGGTTTACCTCTCCCCTCATACATTTGGCATGAATTCCATGTCCATGGTCTCCTGATATAAAATAAAACAGTACTGTCATGCCAAGTTGCTGAATTTACCATCCCTTTAGGGGCACTTGCAAAATATATCATACAATTTTTTCTGCTGTAATGTATACCGGTATGTCTTGATTCACATGGCTTGAGTTGACATTAAATATATCTTTCGTAACATCATGGGAGGTGTACTGTGCCTGTTCCACTATATGTTGTTAGGAATAGAGTAATCTGATAGATACAGTACAGGTATATGCATTATCTATTGTACAACCTTCATAACTACAGAAAGATCTCATATTTCACGCGATTTCATTTCGCGTTTTTGAATTTCATGAGCACTACCTAATGTAACCGAGTCTTATATTTGGCGTAAAATATCATGAATTTCGCGAGATCCTGCCAGCTGAACGCGAGATCCAGCAAGCTGAATGCTGGCCACCGTCTTGAGTGATGTCACAGCCCTCATACCAGTTACAGTCATTTCTGCTACAACGCTTGTTTTGTCAACGCAAATTTAGCTGTTACCCATAAATACTGTACGAAAAGAATAAGTAAAAAGAATGTTTCGCAGTGAAGACTAATAACGGTTTACACCAGCGCTCTCTGTTTACATCACGTGATCAGTTGAATCGCGCAGTTTCTGTCAATTACTCCGTGATTTTTGCTATTTTCTCTAATTTTGTTGTGTTAGCGATGAATACGGAGAGACAAGGTAAGAAGAATGTTTCCAAGAAGCGTTCTGGTGATCGAATTGCTGGTGGTGAACGTAAAAGAGGTTTACAAGAATGCAACTATTGCGTTGTAGCCCGCGCCATCCTAGCGACCGCCTGGGCTGTTATTGTGTGCTTTTTTGGGTGGTGCTACCACCTGTCGAGTCAAGATAATGGCCTCTACCTCTACTGGGGGTCCTACTGATGCTGGTGGGGGTGGGACAAACCCACCTAAGCAGCCAAATAAGGAAAAGGAGAAGCGGGACTACTATCGTAAGGTAGTTAAGTTTGCCAAGTACTCGATGCAGGATAAGCAGCGTGTGATTAAATTTCTTGAGGAAGGCCTAAAAACTAGTTTCCGGAAAGCACAATCAAGTCAAAAAGGCAGAATTTGTATCAGTTAGTCGTTATAAATGGAAAAATCAGAGGTTGATGAAGAGTGGCCAGTTTATATTGTTATTTTTCCCATTAGTTTATGTATTTGCATTTGGTGAATTTGAATTTGGCGCAATTTTTCCAGTCTATATTACTCGCAAAATACAAGATCTTATTGTACAGTACTGTATTTGCATTAATTTTCTTTATTTGAAAACTGTGTTTCAATTTCTTGTAAATTAAATGAGCTATACACACTTTTATGTTTGCTAACCATCAACAGCTCATGGTAAGGCCTAAGTACAGGTATATATGACTTACTGTATACAACGTAGAGAAGTTCTTGTCATAAACAGAAAAATAATTTAGAAAAAGCCAATGAGCATATTTTGTTTGAAGATTCTATGGCTGGCTTTAATTTTAAGTTTTGAATAAGTTTTAGATTTGACAAGCACACATAGGCTCATAAGAGTATATCAAGTTTCCACCATATATACTTAGTAAATAATGAAGACACTGAAAATTTGCAAAATATGAACTCTCATAAAGTTGAAAATTCTCTTGTTTGGTTTAATTTAGATAATACTAATCTGAGAGGGAGAAAAAATGATGTGATAGGAAAAAACGCACATGCAGAAGTAGGTCTTTAACACTCAATTCTTTTTGTCTATTGTATATTTTTGGGGGAGGAAATACAGTAGGTTCTCAACTATCCATATCTTGGCCATCAAATATTATCAAGATAGAAGAAAAAAAAGTCTTGACTTCATATGTCATTTCTGTATTCAATATAACAAGTGCAGTATCAGTGATTTATGAGTATCACCCAGTCTTAGTCCTAATAATGGTGAGCACTTGAGAGTCTACTGTATACAATTTTTGTAGAAGTTTATCTGTTATGAAAATTCATACAGTACTTGTATACCTTGTGAAAGTCATACCTTATACTTCCAATAGCAAAGTGTGACCCTCTTGAGCAGAAGCTATGTTGGTTGGACCTGAGACTCAAATCATAGTGACTATTGCGTCGGGTGTTGGACTGAGAGTCATTCAGGCTCAAGATGGAGTGGGAGAGATAACTTGCAGCAGCTGACAGACGGAGACTTGAAAATGACCTGTCAGAGAATATGTTTGATTATACAGTACTGTACTGTATCGAATATATATAAATCTGTACAAGAAAAGGAGATAAATAGTATATAATGATACACAGTTAACCTTATTTTGATTAATTTCTACATCAATCAATCTGTTTTACAAGAGAAAATCCTCTGAATTCTAACAACATAATTTTCAAAAACAAATTTGTATACCTAAATCCTTTGATCAAATGTCTAAATTGTTAACTTTATGTAAAGTGCTAGATGGACCATCTACAATTAAACAACCTCAAGAAAAAACACCAGTATGGAATTATTCCTGGTCTTTCCTGTTGGAAACAGCTGCTAGGGGTACTGTACTGGATACTATATGGTCACAGGTCCTAGTACATGGTGGTAATATTGATATTAACAATTTGACAGTACATTACCTCACAAAAGGCTTAGCATTAATTTGAAAACTATACCTGTAGAATATAAGGGAAGTCCTAGCATGGATTAGGGATTTTTTTGTGAATATAATTAATATGAAGTGGTCAGTGGCATAAGATCCTCATGTACAGGGTATGCCATTGACAAGTAATTAGCCACAAGGTAGAGTGTTTGGAGTTGGACTGATGTTGTTCATCTTTTGGGGTTGCTGGATATTTGGCTGACTGTACAAGCAAGAGACTGTGTATGTCCAGTACTTGCCACTGTGTGTGCAACAGTAAACTGACTTGCTAGTAACCTCACAAGTAATGAAAAGGGTAAAGTAAAATCAACTAATGGATCCATCATGAGGTCTTCTTTGTTCATCAATCACTGTTTGTCAATGAAAATATCTCAAGCCACAAAAAAAGGTAAAAAGAGGTTTGTTATGAACTGTTCCTTTCACTTCTCCACTGACTTATAATCTATCTAAGTATAAATGTCCTGTAAGACAACTGTACCTGTCATTCAATGACTTCTCAAAGAAATATCGACTCTTGGAAGATGGAATTCCTCTGTGTGTTACAGTCGAACCAGGGTTATCTTCTGTCTGGTGCTGGAGACTCAAACTGTCAGCTGGACTCTGGGCCAGGGGTTGAAGGGGGAAAACTAGAGCACCAAACACTGCTACTTGAAGACTCAGACTTGCACTCCAGATGAAGGACCCTCGCCATCCATACTCACTTATAATGACATCTGTCAGAGAACTCTGCAAAGTTAAAAAAAATCATCAATGACGTGTTATTTTCAAAACTATTTACACAGTTACAGAAACAAGACTTTGTAGTAAACTACAGGTTTCCATCAGTTATATCAACTAACGTTAACATTTTTCTACATAAACTTTTAGTAAAAACTTCACCCTAACAATGGTAATTATAATTACTACACTATGATATCAATAATAATGTAAATTTAATGAGTTCTCTCTCAAAAGGTAATCAACAAATATTTTTTTTAATTCAGCTTCAAAAGCAGCAAACCCTTGATTTAGACGAGTTCTGTTTCTGGGGATTCTCTGTACTGTACAGCATCTCTTGCTTTTACACCCAAAAAAATCAGAAATACATGACCTCTGCTCTACATAACATGAACTGCACTATAAGTTGTAAAAATACTGTATGTATGATATTTTTGGGCCTATCAAAAACAAAACAAATTAACTAATATTTCTCCCAAATAGGTATCTGAATGTGCCTTGAGATTCCATTTCAACAACATTTCCATTCTGTAAATTGTTGATTTTGAATTTTACCCCAACCGTGATGGCATGGACAGAAATTCCTAACAACACAGTGCTACAAGGGGCATTAAAGTTTCCATAAGGTATCATCAAAATTCTTTTAATGGTTAGGGTGATTTTTACTTTAATAACTGGAACCTCAGATATGTTTGCAACTCATTATCATGTGACCAAACTTTCTGGAAATTTTCATCAAGTTCCCTTTCCTGGATCAAAAGTTTTACAACAGACTTGATTTGTGGGGCAAATGGACACAATTTGCTCTTGATAGTCCAAGTTCCTCTTACACAAACACTGGGCAATAAAGGTAAAAAAAAAGGATATCAAAGAACAGACTGAACCGCCCGACCAGCTAGTAAGCTGACAAGTGGTAAAAAGGATAAGTAAAATTACTTCTAAGAACCCTTCCCTTATAGAGCAGAAATAAAGTGAGAATATAAAATTAAACGAGATCTAGTGTCTAATAACCTCTATACCACGTATTCTTGAGTAACTGTTTTGCATAGTAGTACTGTACTGTGCTGTAGTGTGAATATTTACCATAGCTATATACAGTATATAAAGAAAAAGATATGATAGTGTCAAACAAGCAAAGGCTGAACAGCTGGGCCAGCACAACACAAAATGAACTAACTGGAATCTACTTACGTAGCTACAGACTACCTTAAAGAAAATGGAGGTGGGGTGATATTCTGTGACTCTCAAAGTGTCTCTTAAAAGAAATGTGATAACTGCCAATGAGAACAACCCTCATATCGAATTTATGTGGATTCCATCCCATGTTGGAATTAGGTATCATGACCGTGCTGATAGACTGGTCAATGAGGCATGTAAGAAAGAAAATGTTGACCGTGACCTTGGCCTGTCCAATGCTGTACTTAAAAACAATCAAGTCAGAATGATGAACTCTGATCTAGAAGAAATGAGAAATGCAGAGACCTGGCAGTTGTAGCATTAGTAAATATGAAAAATTTTGTGACAAGAGGTACCGGTATGGCCAGTATAAGGACAGAACCAGACAATGTGATGTAGTTGTGGCCAGAATTAGGCTAGGATACAGACACATCTGGCAAGTTAGTAATGCTGTACCAATACCAGAACACTCAGCATGTAAACTTTGTGATAAACCTTTAAAGCATACACTTGAACACTACAGTATAAGACTTCAGGCCACCTGGCTTATTGTATCATGAACTTTGTAATTACCCCTATACTACATTGAATCAGGGGTGCTTGAGGACATTCTTGCTGTTTATCCCAAATTTGCTTGCCCACACTGATTAGTCTTCAATTAGAATATGACATCCAATGTACATGAACCACTGTCTTGCATGGCAGTGAACAGTGACATCACCCACATGACTCTGACCTATATATACTGCTAATGAATATGATGTATTTCTTTGTGTACGAACCACTGTCCTGCATGGCAGTGAACAGTAACATCACCCACATGAATCTGATCTATATATACTGTTACTGAATATGATGTATTTCTTTGTGTATGAACCTCTGTCCTGCGTGGCAGTGAGAAGTGATACCACCCTCAGTGTCAAAACCTGACTGAATTACTCAGAATAGGCAAACTGTAATCCAAGCTTTGTCAATAAATTTGTTCAACTAAACTAAACACAGCTATTCAGACAATGGCTTCAAACCATGGCACGACACCTTCCCAGCCTAATGTATCTACTCCTGGGACCAAGAGGAAGTAATTTATCAACATCATTGATGAAAAACTGCAAATTCAGAAAAGTAAACAAAGGGAACTAGTGTGAGCAAGGCTGTGTGTACAAACAGAAATAATGAATTGTGTATTAGCACAACAGGCTGGGTGAGAATACAGTAGTACTGTACTGCATTTTCAAATGTAGTTTTGTTTATGAAAAACAACTAAGCAGTGTTTAGTATTGATCCCCATTTATCTATCACTTGAATTTTTTTTAAATGTTTATTATCTGTAAAATTGAGATTAACGAATTTATTTAAATTATGTTATGTTTTACTCTAGGATCCTCTCCCTTTAAATTTCTTATATTCACTTACTTACTTTCTAGTTACCCTTTCTTCTTTAAGTACCTTTTATGTAAATAGCACACAAGAATACAGTATGACTTACCAAGAAAAATATGCCCAATCCAATTCCAATCATGGCAGAGGAGGTGGCAATGGACTGTTTCTTCTCAAAGTACTGTGCCAGGGAGATGATTTGGCCAGAATAGGCAAAGTTCATCCCACATGCTGCAACACAAAAAAATAATGATGAGACCATGATGTACAAGTAGTAAGGGTATGGAAAATGAATTTAAGACTAGGATGGAGGTAAGGAATTTCAAGTGAAAGGCGAGGTGGAAAAAAGTATACGTTGTCGAATGTAACTGAAGATCTTAAGAGGACAAGTGACTGTGGTGATGTCAGGTGGACAAGAGGATAGGGTATGAGAGACTTACAATGAGGAAGGGATATGAATGAGGATATTGGAAGAGGTAAATGGAGCACAGGTAATCAGTAAAACTGAAAGGGCAAGTGGTGACTTAGTAATGAATGCGGTAGTAAATAATGCAAAATAAAGTAAAACCATTTACCATTAGGCAAGGTGTTGGGGTGTTGGGGATTAAAGACTAAGGAAAGACTATTTGATAAGGAGAGGAACTCAGGAAGGTCAAAACAAAGTACTGTACTGAGAGAACTTGACTGGGGTATTTTGTAAAATTTGCTGATTATAAAGAAGAGATTATCTTTTAATATTCCTTAAAGATGAATAAAAGAAGGAAGGATTTGAATGTCATTGAATGGAAGAAAGTTTAAAGATTCTATAATATTCTTAAATTGTTGGAGAATGGCTAGTGCAATCAACATTAAGTCCTCAGTTCTTATTATAAGTCATATAAGATGTAATGTACTATTCTTTAAGGTCTGGAAAAGGGACCCCAATTTAGTTGGAAATGGAATATGATAACAGACAGAGAATGTGGGTCCTTCTAAAAATTCAGTATTACAGGTACATATCATACAGTACATTGAGAACTGATTACAATGCACCTCATTCCCATTATGTGGAGTGGTATGCTTTCCAGCAAAAGGGATTTTTTAATAATGTTATATAACACAAAGGTGACTGGGTCTGAATATTGTACAATATCAAAATGAAAATGCCCTACACTAAGGTCTTATACAGTACTGCATATTGTTAGTGTAGTTAATAAATCCTATACAACACAGGTTCATAAGAAAAGTTCAAAACTTTGGTAAAATCTAATTAGCTTGATCAGGCTAATGACAACTGTCAAAAAGGTTACACAGTGATCCATTAAGTGCTATAAACAAGTGGCATTCAAGCATTATTTCCCAATAATTTTACTTGATACAGTACTAGACAAGATAAAAAGACAAACAATTAATATGAAATATCCTGATTTTGACCAATTATTGGAAGTTATTCTAACACTAAGTTATTCACTGGTTTTTAGTGTTCTTTTCTGTTTTTGTTTTGTTTAATATAAAATACTTTATATATGTGTACAGAACAAAGATAATGACTGAAGAGTGGGACATCCTTTAGACATAGGGACTACGGTAGTCAGGACACTGAAGAGGACATCATAAAGATGTATGCTTAAAATCAGCACAATCAATACTTGGCAAGTTTGCAAAACTCTATTAGAATTTATCAGATACAAACAGCAGATGCTGCAATATAGGGTAAAATGGCTCCTATAAGCACTAGAATCAAATACTACAGTGAAATTCTTAATAATTTCAAATGAGGTCAGTGTGTGAATGCACTCTGCCAGAGAACTGAAGTGCTTGTTCATATAAATCATAATATGTACATTTATAATGAACATCAGGCTGTAGGTTCATACACAGTATGAGAAAGTGAAGTTCTCATTTCAAATGTCATTTCCAGATCAGACATTTTCCAAGATTACACGATATATGACCTTAATATGGAATTTAACACTTCAAAGATTACTGTCTCAACTGTTTGCTTTACTATCAGTTTCATCTTTCACTAAAAAATTTCATGCTCCCAGTGAATTAGAGATGCAGATCAAGAGCTAAATTGCACATGCTGCTTTATATATATATTCATATAGAAGCTTACTAGAGTAGAAAAATAAAGCAATGTATCTAAGCTTAGTGAGGCAGTAAGAAATGACTATATTAACCCATTCACTAGGGCTTTTAACAAATGATAAGCTGCTCGATAAACGCAAGACCAGTGCCATCTCATGACAGTACCACCTTGAGAAAGACCTTGACCCCGAAGATTGACTTAGATATTTCTGTATTGTAAGATGTAAAATATCTTGAGGTAGGAAATTCCATCCAATATACAGATATAATTACAAGATAGGGACTTTAAACCTTATTTAGTATGGAAAGGAATGTGGTTAATGGACATACAGCACTGTATAGGAGACTTTTTGGTTATTCTTGTCAGCCTTTTCCCACTATGTGTAGGGTAGCTGAACTTCAGAGCAAAATCAGACTCTCTTTTCATTTGCCTTCCCCCACTGATTCTCCCTGCTGTGACTTCCCTGTAAACCATTTGATGTTATGCTCCCTCATCATTCACATGCACTGCTGCTTCCTGGATATCCATCCCCTCACTTTACTACTTCTTTCATCCTATTCTTCCACACCTTTTCCTTCTTATTATCTTCCTCTGAATTACAAATTTTTTTTTTTTACCAATCTTTCACTTCTCACTCCCACTGTAGGTCCATACCAACTTAACAAACCCTTATCAACTCTGTCCAATTCTTCTTCCATTTCCACTTTCCTGTCTAACTTTTGTATTAGTTGTTTTCTACAGCCTTCTCAACCCCACATGCTGCTCTCAGTTTATCATTTCACCATTTATCAGCTTAGATTATCATCAAGTACAGTACAGGACTGTATACTGAAAATATACATGAGAATCCACCAAATACTGGTAGAGTATCATATAGAAAAAAGTGCAGTACAACTCATGCAATCTGTGTATTAATGTGAAAAACTTGTGTACATCATCCTTAACGAAACTGCAATTTTTTTTCCAATTGTTGTTTTTTGCTCTAAGAGGACATTGTACATCCCCTACATAAAGAATGTTTCTATTATGTGAGCTCAAGCCTAACACGTCACATTAGAACCTAGAAATTCAAGACGTGGGTTGGGTCAAACGATGAGCAAGACAGGAGGATGTATGCAAGAGCCAGAAACCAAGCAAAGACAGAGTGTAGGGGGGCTGAAAAGGAGTTCCAGAGGCTGGTTGCAAGCGAGGTCGTCAAACCCAAAGGCGTTTTACCGCTATGCAAAGTCGAAATTGAAAACGCGAGTAGGAGTATCAGACCTGAGGCTGGTGGATGGTAGTTACGCAGATTCTGACCAGGATAAAGCTGAGGCATTGAACAGCTTCTTTTCCTCGGTGTTCACAAGAGATGATGCAACTAACCTTCCTGCGTTTGAGGACAGACGGTTCGACACAGCACTGACCCACATTGTGTTCACAGAAGAAGGTATTAGAAATAAACTGTCCAGGCTAAAGGTCCATAAGAGTCCCGGACCTGACATAGTGCATCCTATAGAGCTAAGAGGGTTGTGCAACGAGCTTGCAGAACCCCTGAAGATCCTGTTTTGTAAATGCCTGGATGAACAAAAGGTCTCCAGTGAATGGAAAGTGGCTTATGTGAGTCCTATCTTCAAGAAGGGCGATCGTCACTCCACGAACAACTATAGACCGGTGAGCCTGACCAGCATAATATGTAATGTACTTGAGTGTATTATCAGAGATGCCGCAATGGAACATCTAATAAGAAACAACCTTGTAAAGGATTGTCAACACGGTTTTATGCCGGGGTGCTCCTGCTTAACACAATTGCTCAAGGTATTAGATATTTGGACCCATATTCTCGAACGAGGTGGTAATATCGACAATATTTACCTAGATTTTGCCAAGGCTTTCGACAGTGTACCTCACAAAAGGCTGAAAATCAAACTGGAAGGGTACGGAATTTGGGGAAATGTCCTAGCGTGGATAGAAGACTTTCTACATGACCGCAAGCAGTGCGTGGTGATTAATGGCACGAAATCGTCATCTGTATATGTCACAAATGGGGTACCACAGGGCAGTGTATTGGGCCCGCTGTTGTTTGTTTGTTTCATAAATGACATGCCTGACGTTGTACACTCCTCCATACAAATGTTTGCTGATGACGCCACGTTATTTCGGGAAATTAAGAACCAAGCGGACTGTGAAGAGCTGCAGAAGGACCTCTGTGGGCTCCAGGAATGGTCGAAGAAATGGCTGCTGAGATTCAATGTCACAAAGTGTAAGAGGAAGCACCTGGGGCTTACCAATGGTAAGGAGGCGTATCATATGTCCCAACGGGATGAAGAAACTGCACTAGTTGAGACTGAATGTGAGAAGGACCTAAGTGTGTGTGTTGACAATGAGCAGAAGTTCTCGGGCCATTGCGAGAAGAAGGTAAATCAGGCAAATAAACTATTGGGTCTTATAAGAAGGTCGTTCAGATATCTAGAAGGTCCGTCCCTCGTAACGATCTTCAGGAGTGAAGTGCTTCCCCATCTAGAGTACTGTCACCCCACCTGGTCCCTGAGATATGCTAGGGACTGTCAGTAGGTTGAAAATGTTCAAAGGAGGGCCACCAGACTGGTGCCTGCACTTCGACACCTCAGCTACCCTGAAAGATAGGAGCGCCTGAACTTGCCTAGCTTCTACTCTTATACTACAGACGGGCAAGGAGGACCTAGTTGAGGTGTATAAGCATCTCAGGGGGCACTACTCAGTTGAGTGTCCTTACTTGGAGCTGGCGGACGCTCGCCCCACAAGGGGTCACAGATCAAGATTGAAGAAGTCACAAGTCCAGAAAACTGTGAGGGCAAACTTTTTCGGAGTGAGGGTTGTAAACTCCTGGAACAATCTACCAGAGAGAGTTGTGACGGCACCAAGTGTGAGCTCTTTCAAGACAAGACTTGACCAACACTGGAGCGGGTTCAGGTACATTCAGGAGCCGGTGCATGCCCAGTATTTGCCAACAGTGCGTGACAGAGACGTGATCGATTGCCCGGGCAGCTAGCGAGCGGATCTTTTGGTGAAGAAGTTAAATGAAAAGGAAAAGTAATCAGAGACGTGACCAATCGCCCAAGCGGCTAACGAGCCGATCAGTGGCGAAGAGGATAAAAGTAAAAAAAAAGTAGTAATAAAGTGAATTTGTCTTGTGCAAGTTACCTACACAACCTCTTCTTTTTTCATCTTAAAAAAAAAATGATTTACTGTATTTCTTATTATACATAAGCAATGAACATGTGTATGTGTAAACAAGTGCAGGACTTGGGGAAAAAAGCCACCCAATGTTTTGTCGAATACGACTTGTTTTCACAAGAGATATTTCCATACAGTATCTGTTTCTTTAAGCCTTCATCCCACCTCACACAAACACACACACATAAACTTTCTCCGGTGGTACTATGGTATGCAGTCTACCAAGCTGGAGTTGGTCTACTGGGATACAGTATTTACACTGTAGTGTATTGGCATGCAGTCTATCTAGCATCCATTAACTGTAAAAGATTAGGGATAATCCTACCCTCCATGGTCAGAGGTAATGAGGTCATTAATATCTCAGCTCAACTGATGTAGAATATAAAACAGGGAATCATGAAGACAAGAATTAGTATCATTCCAGAGTTCACGTGAAGAGCATCAAAGTCGAAAAAAAAATGTGCTACAAACTATGTTGCTGAAAGATTTCTATATACAGTCAGTCCTCAACTTACGACGGGGTTAGGGACTGACGACCAGGTCGTAAGTCAAATTAGTCGTAAGTTGAAAATGCGAAAATAATACATAGAAAATCTAAAATGGGTGTCTCTTTTTCTTCTCAGCACCATGAGAACTCTCACTTTTACGCTTGCCAGCCATTATAAAGGGAAATACAAACGAAATGTTTTCAATACACAGCGCGATCACTAACGTCGGGACTCGAAAATACGTAATCTGAAAAATATTTTATACGGCTGCGGTGGTCGTATGTCCGCATGGTCGTAAGTCAAAGAGTACCCAACCTAATATAACCTAACAACAAATACAGGTGTAGACTGCTGCAGTCTACAGTACATCCTGTATACTTTAATAGTAGACTACTGTACACTCTTTAATGTATGCATCATGGTAGACTGCACACTATAGTGTAAATACTGTACTATATATCTCGGTAAACATCCTGGTACACTGCATGCTATAGTAGCACCCATTCTCTGCTATTCTTGTCACATCCACCTTGGTGTTTGTTTCTCTATCTCCTCCTACCCAATACACTTCAGTCGTCGGTACACAGCTTCTTACCACAAGCGTCGTTAGAGTAACAATAAGCCGAAAGGGTCATGTAACTAGGACAGTCAGTGCTACTTGCATCTATCTTTGTATTTCTAGAGCTGCTTAACTCGAGAAAGGAAAGCTCTTCAATATTCATGTTTATAAAAATATATTCACCTTGACAAGCCTTAGTTCTGAAATGCTATCACACAAATTGGCACAGTAGTTAGGTTTTACATTAGAATTGTGATATTAGGGATATTGTAGTACGAATGACAGAGATTGTCTACTTCCTACAAGGTGTGGAAAAGTTGATCTCTTTAAGATTCCAGGTTAGTAAAACTGAAAAGTAGTTGAGATGTGGGTAGAATAATCAGCAACAGAGAGTGAAGTAAATATCTGGTCTTCCTGTTCTATAGTGAGTCAACTTCTCTCTCACTTCAATATTAATTGCCTTTCAAAGTCTTACTCCAAGTTATAAAGCTATGCATATACTTATTATATTTCACCATATATCACTGACAAAACCGGATTCATATTGTTTGGGTTTCCATATCTGTTAATCTTCACAAACACTCCTGCGTGTTACTATGTCAGAGTGCAATACAAAATCAATTGTAACTGTGACTTGTAATGTGCTAGAAGCATAGTCAGCCAAGAGACCATGATGTCATAGGGTGTGAACAAGTAGTGTGACCTTAAGTTACCATGCACCTTGGAAGGCAACAAGCACTTTAGCTCCTATATATTTAAATATAAAAAATATCTTATTTGCAAAAAACTACTTTAGTAATGATGTATAAGTAGAAAATATTTTTTTGTGATGAAAGATAAGATGAAACCGAAATTGTGTCAATTGTACTTATGGGGAGGAAAATTGAAAATAAGATTTAAAAGTGGAGAAAGAGAAGGTGAATGAGATGATTGAGTGAAACACATGGGTTATATTCAGAAATATCATATAGATCACAAGGAAATTACATTTATGATATGACTACATAAAATTTAAGTGTGCATACTGGTATATTGTCAAGATTTTTGGGGGGATATACCACATATGACACATTATATAATATATACAGTTGTTTCCAAACTGCCTCCGTGGATACGGAATATGCTGTTATACTCTCCTGACCACAGCCTCCACATCCCTCTGTTTTCTCCCGAAAGTGACCATTAACCCCCGAGTAGGGACTCAACATCCTCACCACCTCATCAAGATTCATCATCATCATCAAGATCATGATAATGATGATGATGATCATCATTATCATCATGCCACCATGTGAGCGATGGCGCAGAAGAGTTTGGTGTTTTTTTCAGCAAAGAGTTGGTATCTTCTTCTAAAAAGCTTCTGACCTCTTACTGATTCCAGGAATTTTGCTGAATTGCTGTAAACAATTAAAAAAGGGCAAGAGTGGTTATGTGCAGGTGTGCTGCAGTTGTTGTGCTGGTGACCTCAGTCTATGTGATAGCTGTGACGTGCCTGAGGCAAAATGCGGCAGCATCTTCTAGCTGTCAGCCTGCCTTGGATACTCCTAAGCTTCAACCATAATTTGCCTGGAATAAAGACTGCACGAGGACAAGCATCAGGACAAAGGTCACAAGGTCAACAAGTCAAAGGGGGGGTTTGAACACTCTGTGACTCAGTTATCATGCCTATTCCACATGTATAAGACAACTGTGCCAAATAAACAAACAAGCAAAGGCATGGGCGGAGGTGAAAAAGTCATGAGGATTCTCAACCACACCTTGGATGGAGACATGCCTTACCTACGCAAACCATAAGTCACAAAAAGCATCTCCAGTGATGTGGCGAACGCAGAGGCCAGGTACCCCACCATCATCAAGAAAGATCCGAACATGAGGGATAAGCGGCAACCCCATCGTTGGATGAACATTGAGCTGACAGGACCTAGGGGAAGTATATTGGAATACTGTACCATAATAACATGTTTATGTAAGCAGTAGAAAATATGAAGGATTGTCTATGCATATGTTACTATAAACAGTGTGTGTGTGTTTTACATGACTTAGCGCACGGTTTATACACATCCTGCAGGTAAACCTACCTAAATGTTTCACACATATAAAACTATCATCTTTACACACTACAGTGCCTTCAGCTATGTCTGGGGTGTGTATTCACCCTTTAACTGTAGTATTCCATTAGTATAGAAACTTAGGAATCACCTAAAGATGAGCCCCAACTGATTTTCACCTTAAGATTAACCACCTTCACTCTAATAAAATATAACTTAACCTTTCTAGGGTGCTTAATCACGTGAAATAACTGGAGGCTAATCTTCAGGTGATCCAAATTTGCTATAAAAACATAAACAAGGTTGTCTCACAATGTCATTCACTGAGTTGCACTTAAAAAAATGCTTCATGTAAGAGAGATTAAATCAGATCATAAAAGGTTGACAATGACTTGACAAAATACATATCTGAGGAGCCACTGACCTCCAAGAAAGCATTGACCAGGGAACCCATCCAGGCTGTGTAGGAGCGACTGTTGCCAAACTCGTCCAACATCTGCACAAAGTACATTCCCGTCGTGCACAGAAGTCCTGACGCAGGAAAAATGATTGGGTCAAAGCTGATAACGGTAAAGATTCGCTTTAGTTACACCACGGAAACTACTAACCAAACTGGGTTTTCCTTGTGTATTTTGTGTTGTCTCAAACGAATCTGACCTTTATTTCCATCACAAATGAGCAGTTTTTTCTAGAAAGCCTACCTAACATTACCTAACTTCCTATTAAACAGAAAGTACAGTACCTACTTTCATATCAAGTAACAATGAAAGCAACATTGAAGTCATAGTGTAATTTTACGTTTTTTTTTCTACTGGACTTGAGACGGTTCGAGTATGCTTGAACCGAGCGGGTCGGTTGTAAACAAACAGACCAGACACAAGACTTTTTACTTTTATCCTCTTCACCACTGATAGGCTCGTAAGATCGGTCACGTCTCTGTTATGCACTGTTGGCAAGTACTGGGCATGCACTGGCTCCTGAATGTACCTAAACCTGCTCCAGTGTTGGTCAAGTCTGGTCTTCAAAGAGCTCACACTCGGTGCCTCATAACACTTTGTGGCAGATTGTTTGTTCCAAGACTTCACACCACTCCGAAAAAGTTTGCCCTCACAGTTTTCTGGACCTGCGGCCACTGATCGGCTCATTAGCCGTTAGGGCGGTCGGTCAAGCATCTACACTGTTGGTAATTACTGGAAATGCAATGGCTCCTGAATGTATCTGAGCCTACTCCAGTGTTGGTCAAGTTTTGTCTCGAAAGAGCTCAAGCTCAATCATACCGGTGTAGTCCCTTTATCTATATTTTATAATATTTCTGGCTTCACTGCTTTTCCACTTCCAACAACTCAATTAATTATTGAATTATTATACATACAAATGCATGGAAGTCGAATATAATGCTACTATCAGTCGCCACTCACCAGCTCTGCTCACCACGGAATCTCAGAGTGTTCTGCCGGGAGTGCAGTACAATATGTTGGGCAAACACTTCCTTTTTACCTAGACTTCACTTTTAACTGCTACACCCGTCACTACACTCCAAGGACTCTCTCTGCCAGCCAGCCAGTGGCAGATTGTTCCAAACTTTCAAGATTTCAAGAGTTCACAATTCTCACTCCGAAAAGATTTGCCTTTACAGTTTTAATATTTCAAATCTTCAATCTGCCGACAAGGGCAAATACCTATGTTTGAGGGGAAATACTGTATATTAAAAAACTGCTTTGTACAAGAAACATTGTAGTGGATTCCTCCCCTACAAGCATCGAACCTTCTCAAATTCCCCAGCCTACGCCTCCAGCGCTGCCCACGGAGCGGGGGTCAACTATCTGCCCACGCCTACCCCCGCCTTACAAGGCCTGACACCGCTGTGAACGCTTTCTTTCTACCCAGTGCCACCAGCAAGCAACACCTCCTCCTCCGCGCCAGCCTGGCGGCTCCCCCTCCAGCCGGCGACCTTGGGTCCTCGCTGCGTGCCCTCCTCTGGGCACCCTCACCAACCAACTCTCTCTACATCACGCTTGTAACCACGCTGCCGCTTCCCAGCACCAAGCCGCACTGTACATCCAATACAATATGTATACAGAGAGCACATTGTGGGTTTCCTTTCTCCATCCCATCCTGAGTGTGAACCAAATAACCCGTAACCCACAACGTTACCCTTAAATATCGATTTGTAATTTAAAAAATAACATTTAGGGTTGTCAAAAACACTAGAAGAGGAATGGGTGAAAGACAAATATTAACCCGTGCGTAATCGAAAAGTCCAAAACACTAAAAAAAATATGAGGCGCCTAGAATGGGAATGGCTTATCTCCAAAATGCCTGTTCTGAGTAAATCGCATTTTAAGCTTTAAGTTTATGTACCATGGAAACTACTGTATGGATTTCAATGAAATTTTCCTAAAAATTGGACCATATAAAGGATGTTGTGGAAAAATTAAGTCCCTTATGCCACATCGGCACCCCGCACCTAAAAGTAAAACAATCAATAAATATCACCAAATTTTCACGAAACTGGGAATGTTAGTACTGTGCTCTTCCACCACAGGGCAGTGTATTGGGCCCGCTGTTGTTTGTTTCATAAATAACATGCGAGAAGCTATATATTCCTTCATACAAATGTTTGCGGACGATGCCAAGTTATATTAAGAAATTAAGAACCAAGCAGACTGTGAAGAGCTGCAGAAGGACCTCTGTGGGCTCCAAAAATGGTCGAAGAAATGGCTGCTGAGATTCAATGTCACGAAGTCTAAGAGGATGCACCTGGGGCGTACCAACGGTAAGGAGGCGTATCATATGTCCCAACGGGATGAAGAAACTGCACTATTTGAGACAATGTGAGAAGGACCTAGGTGTGTGTGTTGACAATGAGCAGAAGTTCTCGGGCCATTGCGAGAAGAAGGTAAATCAGGCAAATAAACTATTGGGTCTTATAAGAAGGTCGTTCAGATATCTAGACGGTACGTCCTCTAACGATCTTCAGAAGTGAAGTGCTTCCCCATCTGAGTACGTCACCCGTCTGGTCCCCGAGATATGCTAGGGACTAGAAAATGTTTAAATGAGGGCCACCAGACTGGTGCCTCCACTTCGGCACCTCAGCTACCCTGAGAGATTGAGCGCCTGAACTTGCCTAGCTTATACTACAGATGCGCAAGGGGTGACCTAATTGAGGTGTATAAGCATTCAAGGGCACTACTCAGTCGAGTGTCCTTACTTGAGCTGGGGGACACTCCCACAAGGGGTCACAGCTCAAGATTGAAGAAGCTGCAAGTCCAGAAAACTGTGAGGGCAAACTTTTCGGGAGTGAAAGGAACCTTGGAACAATCTACCAGAAAGTGTTGTGACAGCACCGAGTGTGAGCTCTTTTAAGACAAGACTTGACCAACACAGGAGCGGGTTCAAGTACATTCAGGAGCCGGTGCATGCCCAGTACTTGCCAACAGTGTGTAACAGAGACGTGACCGATCGCCCAAGCGGCTAACGAGCCGATCAGTGGTGAAGAGGATAAAAGTAAAAGTAATGGAATTTTCGACCTTGCGGCGGTGTAAGCGGCACTCAGTCAGGCTTGATCATGTAGAACAAAGGCCAGTGAACACGTCTGCGGCCATATCACCAAATCGTGATTTTGGTGCTTACGCCACTCCCATTCTAATTTGCACTTCATATAAATTTGCGACGGAAATATTTTTCTTTCTCGCTATATAAATAGAACTGTGAAATTAAGTGGTGTAAATAAAATGAAACTTAACCCTGATAATTTTATCCATAGTTTAGATAAATGTACAAGTAAAATAATAGTTACCTTTTACATATTAATGTGTCAGGGGTGGATCCAGGTCGGGGGCGGGGGGGACTCCGAGGACCGGACCCCCTTTTTTCCCAGAAAATTCCTTTTCCCTTTAATGCAGTATTGTACCAGGTTTTTGTATTGCAAAAAGTAATTACTAATGACCTCAGAACATCTCTTAATATCATATTGCTTCAAATGGTCCATGATATTGGGCTGCTGTGCTGGCCTTGTTTCCCCAAACCCACAACTTCTTGGACCCCCCTTTTGATATTCTTGGATCCGCTCCTGTAGTGTAGTCAAGTTGTGAGACTTTCTAAGGACATAACACCAGACAACGTAAACCATAACTAAAGTGCAAAAAATACTTGATCTCACTCATCTCAGTTATGATCAGCCTCGGTGTACACAAAGAGTTGCCTCTTCAGTCAAAATGAATTGCTTACCTGAGTTGATGGCGAAGACCCAGAACATGGCGAAGAGAACAACCCAGGCCCAGCCGCCATCCACGTCTGGGTGCTTCAAGGGTGCTGCCTCTCTGACTATACTCAGCTCCACCGTCTGGTCCTGAAGGAATACATGACCAAGGCTGTCATTACCTATATTTCGGCACTTCAAGTTGTACTTACTGTAAAGCCTCACCAGCACCCATTATGCAATATGCTTCCTTCACCTTCAGGTACACAGCAACGGTCTATCTTTATTCCAGGGGGAGAAGATAGTAAAGGAAGGACGTGAATCACTGAGACTTCCTCTTCTTTCTCATACTCACTCTGTTTCTGATGCTTTTAACCTAATTCTCTTCTCAGGTTCACACTCACCCCCACTCCCACATCCACTCTCTCTCTCCATCTCCTAGTTATTCACTATCCTTATCCAGGAATGTCTCGAATTGTATTTCCTCAAATAATTCATACGCTTCCGCCTTGTCCTTATCTGAGTTCGCGAAGGTGTCATCTTCAAGTCTCAGACCGATACGCCCACACGTCTCTAATTTTGAAACGATAGAAAGCCTTAGGATAGCCAGCCCGTCTAGGTATGACTAAGCCTCAATTTCAATCCGTCGCTGAAAGTTCTTTTCAGTCTTTGTACACCCTGACTTGTCTTGGTCGATGAATTAGGCAAACCTTTGCATCTGTGTTTCATTTGCGATTTCCTCTGACCTTCTTGGCATTAATAAGAGTTTGATTAAACTTCAAAGTGTACCTATTTGAAGGTGATTTTTTTTAGACTATTTCGCTAATTAAAGGTTTGTTCTTGAAGCCACAGCTGCATACCCACCCTGCAAAATGTAAGGAGTACATTGCCCTCCAAGAGTGAGTCCTTACAACACCACTCACCCGCTTCAAGGCAGAGGAGATCGTGTGGGGTGGTGGTTCGGGTGGTTCCAGAATGGCCTCAAGCTCACTCTCGCCACTGGTAGATCCTCCCTTAGCCTCGACGATGGTGCCAAGGGCGAGACCGGGCTCCCCACACAGTGGTGACGAGACCGGTTCATCTTCAAAGGTCATGGCGCCCATGTTGCCCACGGGTTCTTGTGTGGTGCCTGCAGAGGAAAAGGGAGAACAAGGATCAGTTACGGCATCATCTATACTTACATGATATGTAAACATTTACTCCAATAAGATATATGTAGTACAGGAGAAAACAACCCCAAAGCTAATCCCGGTAGGTCTAAAATCATCAAACTCCAACAGACAGGTGGTCATGCACCCGTTATCAGCAACAAAATTAATAAAATTAATTGTTTTTTACTTTTCAGCCACATACAGTATATGCAATTCGCGACAAGATTTCATACTGACACCCCTCTGTTGAGTTCGGAAGTGGCGTCACTGAACAGAGCCCTTGATTTATTTACATGTACCTGAAGTAATCATGCGTTGTCTCACCAGTGGAAATCTCTTCTTACTGAAACTTTTGCTGCCGCCCAAAATTGTCATTTGTGTACATAGATTCCATATATACATATAGCACCCTCGGCATAACTACATAAAGGTACAATTAAATTCTGTTTTAACAGTATACAGGTAGTAGGAAGTAGGCAGCTACCAAACAGGGAGGTACTACCGCCTGGGAAAATATTGGAAGCATAATGTGTTGTCTAATGGTAGACCCTGCTGCCATATGGCATCACGAAAATTGTGACCAAGTCCCAGGTTGCTGATCTGACTTTCTGCTTCGTTTACATACAATTGCAGGGTCTCAATTGTTTTTCTTTCTTTGACAACACAACATATTGTACATATATCGTTTCTCACTATTGATCTTTTTTTCATTTTTTATAACTTTATGGTTCTTCATTTTTATTACTGTTATCAGTGTTGTTATTATTATTATTGTTATTATTATTTATTTTATAATTTTGTATTTATTAAAATTTTTAATTACTTTGAACTAATTATTATTACTATTGTAATTATTACGTTTTCGCGCCCCCAGGCCTCGATGTGGTCAGTGACCTGTGCTTGGGTGAGCTAATCCCTGTAAAAAAAATATGGCATCACGAAAATTTTGACCAATTCCCAGGTTGCTGATTTGACTTTGCGACTCATTTACACACAGTTGCAGGGTCTCAATTGTTTATCTTACTACTGACAACACAACATACATACTGTATATTGCTTCTCACTTTTGATCTCTTATTTTGAATGTCTTTATTATTAGTAGTAGTAGTATTACTATTATCATTACTATTTCAATAGTTATTATTTTTACTATTATTATTATTATTATTATTATTATTATTATTATTATTATTTTATCATTATTATTATTATTTTATCATTGTTATTATTATTACTTTTGCCCCCCAGGCCCCGATGTGGGTCAGTGACCTGTGCCCGGCTGGACTAATACCAGTAAAAACAAAAACAATCCTCCTTTTATACAAAACTGTCCAAACTCATGCTCCAGCTAGGCAAGACTCCTCACACACACACACACACAAGGAGACCGCAATGTGCTTGAATACCTCCCACGTAAATGTGAATAACAAAGTGTGAGGCCAGACATACTGCCTCACACGCCTGTTCTCACGCATTTGTGAATAAGTTACCCTTTATGTATAGAACTAAACAAATAATGTAAATGAAATACTGTGTAACTCTCAGTGCCATAATATCCTGACAACCGGGGTTAATTATTATGACCCTTTGTAAACCCTACTCTGTAATCCTTTTGCGCTACCGCTCACAGGATGAGTGTGGGGTGCACTGTCATAGCCGCTGCAAGCGGCAAAATCAAATCAGGAGACCAGGAACACTCATCAAACCCTTCTCTATATTTACCCTGTGGAGTATCTAAAAGACCATCCAAACCAACCACAGACCCTCCAAGCCAGCGCCACTCTGTTTACAGGTCATGTGTGATCAGCCTCAGAATTGTTCAAAGCTAACAATCATTACGATATACGAAACTCAGTAGTACCTTGATATATATTTGAAAGATTATTATTAGGTCACTAGGGTTCCAAACTTCAATCCTAAATGTTTCGTAAGATAAATACTCCTCACCCCTGAAGAAGTGAAGATGTAAGGAGAGACATGAATAGTCGAATTAAACTAAAACAAGAAATACCGTCCGAAGGTAACATAAAAAAACAGTGACGGTCGCCTTAAATACTTATACATTCACTCCCTGCTACCTCTCACAATCTGAACTAAAATATTAATCAACTCTACATAAAAAAATAATGAAATAAGATTTCTCATTTCCTTTGTATAATGCCATGTGGCTGTAACCACTGAAATAAAAAAAAGACCAGATCATTTTACTTGTGAGCCCTCCCCCTCCCATAGCACTAGGAAGTCAAGGTCATGTGCAGAAATAGACTTGGAATTGACGTTTTCAGTGTTCATATCAGTCTGTTGAGTGACGACCGAAAACACCGGTTTGAGGAGTATGTTAAACGTGACATCAGTGGAAATAAAAGACGGAAAAACTCGACCCCCTTACAATGGACATTCAGTCGCACGCCGAAAAAAGAAGTTATTATAACATCAATTGCACACTGTAAATGTTATTTTTCCTTCAAATTCCCCCATGACCAAGCATGATGAAAGAACGCATTCAACACGGAGGTTAGGTGTCATTTGTGTGGCTGTGGTAAAAAAAACAGTAATTCTGGATACAGTGTAGTAACAGTTAAGTGTGGAACTGAAATACTAAGTTCGATATAGTAAGTGCTAAGTGTTGTATTTGGCTTAGTGTGGTATTAGTAAAACTTGGCTTCGGTTGGTACAAGTTCTGCTAGGCTAAAGGCACCAGTGCTGTGTGGTTAAAGGCAGAGCAAAAGTGCCTGAATTAAGGTTGCGTGGTTAGAGATAATTTGTAATTAGTTAAATGGTGATACACATACAATCTGACGCAATTTGATACACGGCATATATATATATATATATATATATATATATATATATATATATATATATATATATATATATATATATATATATATATATATATATATATATATATATATATATATATATATATATATATATATATTTTTTTACTTTTATCCTCTTCGCCACTGACGGCTCGCTAGCCGCCCGGGCGATCGGTCACGTCTCTGTCACGCACTGTTGGCAAATACTGGGCATGCACCGGCCCTGAATGTACCTGAACCCGCTCCAGTGTTGGTCAAGTCTTCTCACTCTCGGTGCCGTCACAACACTCTCTGGTAGATTGTTCCAAGAGTTTACAACCTCACTCCGAAAAAGTTTGCCCTCACGGTTTTCTGACTTGCGGCTTCTTCAATCTTGAGCTGTGACCCCTTGGGAGGCGAGCGTCCGCCAGCTCCAAGTAAGGACACTCAACTGAGTAGTGCTCTGAGATATATATATATATATATATATATATATATATATATATATATATATATATATATATATATATATATATATATATATATATCATGTAGATCCACAATGAAAACGTGGATAAGATAAATCTTGATAAAATCACACGGGGAAAAGGGAAACAATGGAGCACCTTAGCTTTCGTCTTTATTCAAGACATTTTCAGAGGCAACTGAATTACATGGACGGAGAGAGGCTTAAATACACAGGGTGACCTTATGAAACATGAGCTCCATGTAATTCAGTTGCCTCTGAAGATGTCTGGAACAAAGACGAAAGCTAAGGTGCTCCATTGTTTCCCTTTTCCCTGTGTGATTTTATCAATATATATATATATATATATATATATATATATATATATATATATATATATATATATATATATATATATATATATTTATTTATTTATATATATATATGTGTGTGTGTGTGTGTGTGTGTGTGTGTGTGTGTGTGTGTATGTGCACCCTACATATAACGTGATTCATACTGAAAGCTCGCACGCAAATTTTAGATCACGTGCATTCCAACAATCTCTCCGTTCACCGTCTGTAAGTCACGTCATTACCACATTACTCAACTGCATTTAACGTGCACGAGTTTCTGGACAAAATAATTAGTTCAGCAACAACTGGGACCTGTTTCACTTCTTAAAATATTTGTTTTTTCCTTTAATATTATTATTTTCAATTGGATATTCTGAGTGATATAATCCTGGTGTTATACAAAGTTGATAGTGTGAGACCTTTCATCTTATTTTATAATAGGGCGGATCCTATTAGTTCTGGCGTTTTTTCAGCCTTCTCATTACACAATTAACAAATTAACGACTTAGTGTGAACAGTAATTAAATAAATTTCAGGTAAAATACATAAGTGTGAATATATAAAGCAGTCTAATTTTAAATATGTCGTCACAACATTATCAATAACGGAAAATTGGCCATAAGCAATTTGTTCGTATTTTCATCAGCAACTTTCACTTATAAGTAGGAAACCAGTCTATGTTTACATTATGCTGGTCATATCCGCGAGTTAGCTTTGGGGACAACAGCCTAAAAGTGCTCCCCTTTTTAGGCGTTCATTAATGTTATCTCCAATGCCTAAAAACGATAGGAGAGCGAGCTACAAGTGTCTCAGAGGAGGGATTTTGGGATTTTGGCTCCAGTGGGAGGCCCCCATTTCAAAGGTGGATCTTTTCATTAAAAAGCCGTGTATGTCTGTTACTTTGCTATGCACAGCCACGATTTTTAAGATATCGACTTGAATTGTAATTTGTTTATGTAAATAGCCTCGAGAATACTCACGGACGTCTAAATTGGGGACCTGATTTCAACCTAAACGTGCCCCCCCCCCCCTTGAGTACAACCACAGTTTAACAAGAATTGAAATTTGGTATGGTTGTTTTTTTACATGTGCGCGTAATTTGGGAAAAGGGACTTAATTCTTATGTTTGGAAGGCGTAATACAATGAGTGAGTTGTAAGGAAGGTGGTTATTAGAAGAGAGTAATGAAACAGCGATATGCGGTGAAAAAAGTTGAGGAGGGAATTCTGTGTAGTGGATACTCTCCCCTACAACTGATGATTGGTTACTTGCCGTCCGCTTCCCGGCCAATCAGCAGTTGTAGGGTGTTATAGGGAATGGGCGTGTGACTGAGCCAGGTACTTGACAAGAGGAACCCAGCGGTGAAACAGACGAGCAAGATTACATCACTGAGACGGGTGCTTGAATCTGTGTGTAGCTGAGATAAGAATTGCATGGAGGATCAAGGGCGGATCCAGGGGGGGGGGGTGTCCTGGGGATCCGGACCCCCCTCCCCCCTTCACCAGAAAATTCCAATAGTTTTTCTTTAATGAAGTATTGTACTCAGGCATTTTTGTATAGTAAAAAGTATTTACTATTGACTTCGAATATCTCCTAATATCAAGTGAGCATGGCTTCAAAATAGCCTCAAAATGCCTATGATATTGGCCAGATTTAAAAAAATCTTCAATGGGGGCTTATAGTGCCCCTCCCCCCCAAAAGCTGAGTCATGTTCCCCACCCAGAACTTTTGGACCCCCCGCCTTTTGATATTCCTGGATCCGGCCCTGAGGATACTAATGAACTATCGTATTGGAGATTTGTAGACGGCTTATTACACACACACACACACACACACACACACACACACACACACACACACTAAGCTCCTCGGCGTCAGTGAAGTTGTCAAATCCTCCAGTTCCGTCTCCACCTCCTCCGCCGACTCAAGTCCCTCGGAGTTCCTGCACTCGAGCTCCTCAGTGTTTACTCAACATTCATACTTCCTAAGCTCACCTATGCCTCCCCTACCCGGTTTTCCTCCCTAAATGCCACACAACGTAAACACCTCGAAAAAGTGCAAAAGAGGGCATGCAAAATTATTCTCTCCGCTTCCTACTACACATATCAAGAAGCGCTCAACACACTGACCCTCTCGGCTCTCACTGACCATCACCACGACCTCATCTGCAAATTTGGTGAGAAGCTCCTGCACCATCCTCGACACGACTCCTACTACCACCCGAGATCCCTCGTCCGAGAATTGCTGTTCGATACCACAACCGCATCCAGCCCATACGAGCACGTACTGATCGCTATAAGAACAGCCCAGTCCCAACCATTGTAAAATTTATCAATAACTTGTAATCAACCAGTGTATTCACTCCCAGTCAACCTTACCTTGTTGCACCGTCACTATGTTGAAATGCCATGTAGTATGACCTTCTCCACACCTAGTCATTATATATCATATTTGTATCACTTATGTTACTTGTACTGTATATTATTTTTAAATCAAGAGGCTCATTCCCCAATTATGCAACTGTATATTTTCAGCCTTCCGGCTGCCATGCTCTTTCAATGTACCGTTAATTATTATTGTCATTACACACACACACACACAGCATCGTTCAGCAGAGCTAGGGTGGCCAGCTCTATGAACGGATTGTAAAAACTTTGTGGAAACTTTCTAAGCCGGCTGACTCTCACTATCGCTGAGGGTAACTTGTCCTTTTCTGGCTGTACCTGTAGGCCACCATTTGCTTCTGACACTAGTTCTTCGTTGTGAGTATTATAGAGTATTAAGAAACACAGCTCTTTAACTTTAGATTGTTGTTGTCTAGTGTCTGAAATTACTTCCAGTACATACTTAAAGAACTAGTTGTTGAAACACAGAAATACATTATAATAACATAACGCGTCCGGAAATATTGTATATATTCATAACTTAATTTTTTTGTTTTATATTTTCGTTTTATCACCCTTGTGTATTTAGTTTTAAGTCAATTTGAATGAAATAATGGCTTTCACTTGTTTTCCAGAGGGAAGGCGGGGCACGCAGTTACTTTCCACAAGCGTTCTGAGATTACATTACACGAGCTGTCACCAACTATGTAGAATTTTCATACTGGTGAGAAATCATCCAGAACTATCAACAAGTTTAATCTATGCTTAAGAAAATGTTCGTGGTCTCAACCATCTTTTTAATTTACCACTACGTAACACCTTCATCTGAATCTTCGTTTCCAACCTGCTAAGACTTCAACAGCAGTCATGATCACGCCGCTGTCATGAGGTAGATACTGGTTCTGGCTAGTTTCTGGCGTGGAGTAGATACTGGGCTGATGGTGGCGTGTAGATGATGGTTCTGATAATAGGGAATATCTGGTTTATTGACAGTCCCGCCAGTGATTCTAATCCGTCCTTAAATTCAATGAAATTGTTTTCCGCCGATTATTTCTACCCTGAGACCACAAGTGTCGACAGAATTCGTTTTAAATTCAGAGATGTTGTGTGTAGTTTTTCTTCTGCAGAAGCCTTCCTTCGTGTTTGTAATACGGACTTGTTAAGTATTATTCACTGGTTTATATACCGTATATTACAACGCAAACGTTTTTTCACTAAATCTTGGCTACAGACAATTCTTGAATTCTCCGAGGCAGGACGGTATCTCATTCCCTTCAAACATTGTTACAACGGTTCTGAGTATTCCTTATGTTTGTCGAGCATAAATTGACTTCCCTTGTCGACGCAGGAACATGTGAAAGCCACACTAGTTAAAACACCAAAACACTAACTCAGGTCCGTCTCCTGCCACATCTGCCCTTTAATCCTCTTCACCACACCCTCCATAAACTCCACAAGTCCCAGACCATTCCAGGAACCGCGACACCCTCCCGCGAGCCGCGCGAAGGCTTCGCCTGACACACCTGTACTATCTCCACCTGGATAACCCATCGAACAACCTGTATTAAGCCCATAAATTACATCAAGTCTATCTCGTCTCCAGTGGCGCTAATTCACCGACCCCTGCCTCAGGTGTGGCAGGGAGCGTCTCACCGGCGTGTGTGTTCATGGTGGTGGCGGAGGGAGGACTGGTCGACACTCGACTGAGGCCTCCAGGTGAGCTCTGCACTGCGGTACACCAACACTACAACGCAAAACCTCACAATTGGGGTCGTTTCTATTGACCTAACACACTCCGTCATATTCTCCTGCTACACGCTACTATTTTCTCTTTGTTTGTCTATGTATAACCTACATGGCCTCTTAATATATATTTCCCCTCCTCGCTCCACCCTTTTAAATTATCTGTAATCTTCTGTTATGGAAATTCATTAATCCAATCATAGAATACAATTTTATACACATTATTTTTAGTGGAAAATACAATTAAGAAAAAAATGTGAAATTAATCTTAACATACAATATTAAAAAGATAAGGACCGCACACTCAAAAATTGTTGGTTTTCTCTATAAAATATTAAACCGTATAACACAATGTAAAGGAAACCTAAATAACAAATCCAGATCAAATGTAAGCTGGACCTTGACTCCTAACATGACCCACAAGTCCTAACATGGCCCCGAGTCCTAACATGGCCCCGAGTCCTAACATGGCCCCGAGTCCTAACATGGACCCCCGAGTCCTAACATGGCCCCGAGTCCTAACATGGCCCCGAGTCCTAACATGGACCCCCGAGTCCTAACATGGCCCCGAGTCCTAACATGGGCCCCGAGTCTTTGGACCCCGACTCCTAACATGGTCCCTGACTCCTAACATGGACCTCCGGGCCCCGAGTCGTAACATGGCCCCTGAGTCCTAACATGGACCCACGACTCCTAACATGGTCCCTGACTCCTAACATCGACCCTCGAGTCCTAACATGGATCCCCGAGTCCTAACATGGCCCCGAGTCCTAACATGGCCCGAGTCCTAACATGGCCCTGAGTCCTAAAATGGTCCCTGACTCCTAACATGGACCCCCGAGTCCTAACATGGCCCCGAGTCCTAACATGGCCCGAGTCCTAACATGGCCCGTCTTAACATGGACCCTGACTCCTAACATGGTCCCTGACTCCTAACATGGACCCCCGAGTCCTAACATGGCCCCGAGTCTAACATGGCCCTGAGTCCCAACATGGGACTCCTATGGTCCTAACATGAGTGGATGGCCCCGAGTCCTAACATCCTAACATGGCCCCGAGTCCTAACATGGTGCCTGACTAACATGGAGACCTAACATGGCCCTGAGTCCTAACATGGTCCCTGACTCCTAACATGGACCCCCGAGTCCAAACATGGCCCGAGTCCTAACATGGCCCGAGTCCCAACATGGCCCCGAGTCTTAACATGGACCCCGACCTAACATGGTCCCTGACTAACATGGACCCCGAGTCCTAACATGGCCCCGATTCGTAACATGGGAGTCCTAACATGGAGAGTCCAACATGGACCCGAGTCCCAACATGGCCCCGAGTCCTAACATGGTCCCTGACTCCTAACATGGCCCCGAGTCCTAACATGGTCCCTGACTCCTAACATGGACCCCCGAGTCCTAACATGGCCCCTGAGTCCCAACATGGACCCCCGAGACATGGACCTCCGAGTCCTAACATGGCCCCGAGTCCTAACATGGTCCCTGACTCCTAACATGGACCCCCGAGTCCCAACATGGCCCGAGCCTAACATGGCCCCGAGTCCTAACATGGACCCCGAGTCCTAACATGGCCCCCGAGTCGTAACATGGCCCGACTCCTAACATGGTCCCTGACTCCTAACATGGCCCCGAGTCCAAACATGGACCCCCGAGTCCTACTCTTTTAAGGGCGTTATTATGGTGTTCAGGTTACTTGGTTGACACTCCATTCGGCACTTTAGTTCATCACCACGACCTTGTTCATCGTCTAGCGGGCTATATTTATTGTTCCCCCATTATATTTTATACACAAGTCAAGTCACCTACGAAAAATGGAGAGAGAGAGAGAGAGAGAGAGAGAGAGAGAGAGAGAGAGAGAGAGAGAGAGAGAGAGTGTGTGTGTGGGATACTTCTTTTTAGTTAGAATTTATCTCACCGGACAAATTTGCCGCCTTTTTAAACAAATGAAGAAAATTACCATCTCATTATCTCATAAAAATAAAATATTTTATTCATTACTTTAGGTTAAGCCAACGTGAACTACTTACATAATATTTCCGACCAATAAACCAAACCTAGCTTAGTGTTTTGTCTTTTTTTTTTTTTTTACATTTTCTTACACTCACATCTCGTCTCCCTTCTTTTTGTACATAACTCTGCCAGTTTCTATTAAATGAGTAAAGTCATAGACAAGAATGGAATAATGTCCAAGAGAATGAGCTTCCCTACTGGATAATGAATTAGAATATAACGTCAGCCATCAATAATCAAGGACCCCAGTTACTATAGAGACAAAGGGGCCATAACTCAATAAGATATACAGGTGATCATCGAAACCTATAATTATCACTTTGTTCCGGTGATTGGGTTCAAAAGCTGCCAGGGTAGTAAACGGACATAACTTCAAGCCCTACTGTAGGTGAAAATGTGAAAGTGAGTCTCGTAGATTTTTCACTCCCCATAACTGTAACTATTGAAGAGCTGACCATCAAGAGTAATAGCAGCCGCATACAGCAGTAGGAGTTGTAGTTATAATAATATGACAATCAAATTATAATAATAATGACCTGACCATCAAGAGTCACACATTGTATTTCTCCAACAAATCTAATTATATAACGTATAATTATCATCCCCGAAAAGGTAGAGAGAAAAACTGATAATTGACAGCGACACGAATTACCACTCGCGCCACTGATTCCATTAAAGGATATTTCGCTTTAATCAAACTTAACTCGTGGTTCCCAGCGTAATTATTCTTTCCGGGGCAAAACTTTCACTAAAACTTCTCTTCTGACACAAGTGCCAATATTTTTAAACTCTTACACGTAGGAAGCTTATCAAGTAGTCTAAACAGTGTCGTGTGCTCAAGACTACGGTACAATTCCATGCGTGTCGTCGGCTGCCGCAGTGTCCATGGTGAACAGGACTGGTGGAGCCTGTCATTCAGCACATCAAAATGTGGACTAATTTTCGGATAGCACACAAACAATGGATTATGTAAATAGCAACGGGCCACACTATTGGCTCTTTGGAACGAAATCTAGGACATCTACAGGTGGAAAGCCAAGTGTATACTGTATACGGTAATTCAGACGCCACCACGCGCGGGGGAATTTGAATTTATTTTCAATAAATTATTAATCAAGAGAATTTTTTTTTTTTTTGGGGGAGACATGAACTGTAGATATAGATATTTGTAAACAGCGATGGACTAGTCTAAAGCGCTGAGCCACTAACACTGTTTCTGATCACATGAAACATATATCAGAAATACTTATTATAATAGTATTTAATAATCAGGCAAAAAAAAATATATTTTTTTCTGACTTTAATAACAAAACTCTATTACTATTAATACTTTAAATAATAAAACTATAAAAACATTTGTAATCAACATCACAAAATCACAATACTACCACTGCCACTCCCTCGACAAGACAGTAGATAAATGATAAATCACAGTAACGCAGCATATTACAATAATTGGAAGATGATAGAGGCAGCACGTTATATTTGCCATGTTATTTTCTCCGTGTTTATACGCAAAGACACATCAGCGATTCCCACACTAGCTATACAAGTAGCGTCTGTTAGTTACATTTTTAAATCAATCTGACTCAATTAAAATGCACTGTAAATTGATGTAAATAAGGTTGTATATACAGTTTATTTTGTCTTATATAATTAATCATTATCATGCAGAGTCGACATAGGATTTATTTATTTTTCATTTCCAGCTAAACAATAGGACCATAAGAAAATAAGGAGTCTGCAATAGGCCGGTTGGCGTAAGCATGGCAGCTCCTGTCGGGAGTTACAACCACCCTCTATCGTCCATGAATCTATCCAGCCTCCTTTTGAAACTTTCCAGCGTCCCAGCACTTACTACAAAGTTGCTAAGCTTGTTCCACTCATCTACCACCCTATTTGTGAACCAGTTTCTTCCTATCTCCCTCCTAAACCTAAACTTATCTAACTTAAATCCGTTGCTACGAGTCCTATCCTGCTCGGATATTATAAGAACTCTAACTATACAGTGCCGGATTTAGACCTGTGGAGGCCCATGGGCAGTCTCTTTGTGGAGGCCCCCCTCATTATAACTACCCAAGAGGGTGGGGTGGTGAGTGAAGCGAACCTAAACATCTGGGAGTTCCAGGGGGCGCTGTAAGCCCCACGGGAGAATTTTGAAATTTGAACATTTCTTTGGAGAATTTTGAAGCCATATGCAGTTATATTAAAAATATTAAAAATATACGGTTCATAGGAAAACCAGGTATTCATGAAATTCAAGGAGTAGCTAGCCTAATTTCTATCACGCTTCTTGCTGAACATAGTTTTACGTGATGGAATAGATAAACATGAATTTTAAAGAATGAAAATAAAAATAATCCAAATGAATAAACAAATAAATAAAATATTGTAATATGTGGAGGCCCCCAGATTGTGGAGACCCTCTGGGCAGCTGCCCACTTTGCTCACTCCTGTAACTATATCTCCTTTATTGATTCCTTTTACCCACTTAAACACTTCTATTATATCTCCCCGCACTCTTCATCTTTCTAGGGAATGCAAGTTTAGTTTCTTTAATCTATCTTGATAGGGAAGGTTTCTAAGTCCCGGAATCATTTTCGTCATTCTTCGCTGCACCGACTCCAGTGAATTGATATCCATTCCATAATAAGGGCACCAGAAGTGAACAGCATAATCGAGGTGCGACCTGACTAGCGCAAGATATAATTGCAATATGACTTCCGCACTCTTATTACTTACACTTCTAGATATAAAACCTAATACTCTGTTTCCCTTATTTCGAACATTAA